GATGGACTGATTCAGCAGTCTTCTCTTTCTCTCTTCAAAACGGTCCGTCTGATAAATAATAAGCACTAGCGGTTCGGTTTTGATGTTCGGAGCTCCTCCTCTGCTGTCAGTCGAAATGAAACTCCAATTTAGATTGTGTGCCTCTGTGCATTTGGGGCCTCTCGCTGTAGGTGGAGCTTTCTCCCGCTGGTAGTAAATTCCAGTGACATTTCATCGTCTTTGATATCCCCGATTGTGTACTCCAAGTCAACTTAAACACAGCCTCCGAGTGTGTGCAGGTCTCCATGGACCGTCTCCGCTGATCAATCCTCAGCCCATCTGTCTGCCAGGCTTCTTCAGAGGGCCGCACAGTGGGCGAGACGAACCCTCGCTACAGGGGTCTTCATTAAACCCTTCCTCCCTCCTCCTCTCCCTCTTACCCCCCTCCTTTAGCTCTCCCCAGGCCTGGGCAAAGTTAATGAGAAGATTCGATCAGCTGGCACCCCAGACTTACTCATCTTCATCCCCTTAACCCAGCAGTTGTCTTCCTCCCACGTCAGCTCTGACTCACTCGCGTAGCTCCACTCCCAACCCCAACCATTAGCTGCTTTTTAGCTGCCATTCATAGGACTAAAGTGTTTCCTTAAACAAAAACAACATGCTTGAAAGCCATTATGGTGATGTACTCTCTAATGCTGATTTATTTCTATTTCTATTTTGAGATGTTTCCATTTCAGAATTGTTTATTTCTACTCTTTTAAGTTGTTATGTGCCATGCCTTGTTTTGTTAAATGCTGCTGCAACAAAAACATTTCCCAAATCGGGACTAATAAAGTACATCTTATCTTATCAATCAACTACACAAAGTAAACCCTTTTAAACACATTTAGCATTGGACAAATATGACTGATCACATGAGCTTTCTTTAGCTGTTGTGCTAAGATTTTGCTCTTGTGCTGATATATATACTCTCTCGGGATCGATTTAATTATTAGATGCCTCTTTTAGAAACATGGCATTTGTGGTGTTTGAATTGGAGCCTCTGACATTGTTCCTGGACAATTTGTTTGATTGTCCAACTGTACAAATCAAATGTTGATTTGGAGGTGTAGCCCGAAGCTACTCTACACCTCCCAATCCCAAACACTGGAATCACATCAATATTTGGTGTTGACAATTACCCACGTTTACAAGTCCGAATGACTTTTTTGATTATAAAAAGTAGAGCTGCATCTTTTGATCTGCTGACATATTTTTACAAAAATGTCTGACTGAGAGCATCTCTTGATTTGCAAAGGAAATACAAAACAGAAATGCAGAAAATCTCCATATTTAAGAAGCTAAAAACAGCCCTTTTTGCATGGAAATGGTGATTATTTTTCTGTTAATCTACTTATCATTGGAGCTTTTATATGAAGGCAGAATGGTTCATCATCACGTCATGTTTTAATCTAAATTGCAGGAACTTTGTTAGGAGAAAACTCAGAACACTGAAACACTTTTTGGCACAAGGAAGGTTACATGAAGAGTCCAAACTATTGAGAAATATACGGGAGGCGTGAGAACAAAGGCATATTCATCAGTATTTCACAATCACAGGTAAAACCCCTATGTCTTCATTTCCTCTCCACCAGTCTCTGTGCAGTTTTCTGTGTGGGAGGTGGGGGGGGGGGGGGGTGGTGGTGGTGGTGATAGCGTGGCTCAGTTGTTCTGCCAGAGAAATGGATTTGCAGTGATGGATGGCACGGTGGCACTGTACAGGTCTCAGCCTTTTGCAGCTTTAAACTCATTTTGGGGTCACAGCAGAGTCGTTGTGCTTTGTGCCCGAGCTCTGGCTCATCTAACCGGCCTGCTGGAGCCTGCATGCCAATTACCCCCCCCCCCCCACCCCCCCCCCCACCCCCCACCCTGCCAAGAAGAGCGGGCAAAGCGGGAACATAAAGAAGTATTTGCTCGCTTTCAGAGTCAAAAACGTTAGTGTTCTTCTTCAGTGACAAAGGTAGCAGGGACAGCAGTGTAGTGTCCTGCAGACAGCCCCTGACCTCATTCTGTGTGACTGGCGACAGTGGTGGGACCTAGCAAAGTATATTTAAAGAAATGTTTTCATATATCTATTTATCTCACCTCGAAAAGACCCAGTAAGGAGGTATTTACAATGATGCCTATATGCCAATGCATGCAAACAAAATAGTTAACAAAAACAACAATGTATGATAGCTAAAAGCCTAAATATATATTGATAAAAAGGCAATAGAGTAGATAGTAAAATAGAGGGATTCAATACAGTGAGGTATTTAAAAATTACAAATAAGTCTTCCAACGGTCAAAAACTAAAAATATCTTTCACCTGCATTGCTATTAAAAAGTAGCAAAGCATCACATTTTGATGTTTTAAAGCTGGACAATGATATGTATTTATGCTATAAATGACCTATTATTAATTCTGTGTGACTGACTTCTTCCGCCACACATTTTATGTTGACACGAAACTCGCAAAAAACACATCAAAATGTGCGGAATGATGGGATCGGGTTGCTATGTCTGTCAGAAACGATGCAGGAATGTGGTACAAGAATCCAAAAATGTAAAAGCCAAACAGTTGAAATAGTCAGCTAAAATGTATGGATATTCTTTGTTGTACCTCAACAATACAACTAATGCTATTACTCAGCGGGGGTAATGTTAGCATCGGGACTCGCACCCAAGTTTCAGTCACAGTCAACATTTCTCTGAATGTTCTGGTTTGATTATACTCCTCATTGTTAGGTTAAAGGTGGGGTAGGTAAGTTTGAGAAACCGGCTCGAGATACACTTTTTGTTATATTCCATGGAATGCTCTTAACATCCCGATAGCAATGAATATCTTAAGAGCTTTGACAAAAAATCCATAAAAAAATGTCATCTGTGGAAGCCGTAGTACTGTAAAAAGCACGACCAATCATCTGAGCCGGCCCGGCTAAAATAACTGGATGGCCTACCTGCCTGTCAGCCTTCCATCTGTGCACAAACTTATCTCGTGCCCTCATTGGTCATGTGCTCGTTCGTGTGTGTTGGAGGAGGGGCTCTGTAAGGAAGTGGCACATTTTTCCGGCTGTGTATTTTCAAATTCTTGCGCACTCAAGCCGGTTTCTCCAAAATGACCTACCCCACCTTTAAGTGTACGTCTTATAGCAGCAATTACCGTTCGGTTCAACACATCTTGACATCGTCTTGTGTTTTCTAAGTGGTGTGTCGGCTTCACGGATGCCTTCAGACTATTGAGCTCATCTCACTGTACATGCTTTGCAAAGTGACGCAAAAGTTAAACTGAAGGACTGACCACATAGTTTGGAGCAGTAGAATTGATTTCGATATTTTCTCATCACACCTTCATTTTTTTCAATTTTCTTTAAACTGTTGCACTTTCTGTAGTTGTTGAAAAGTCCACATTGCAGCGGGTTGCTTTCGAGGCCATAATAGATTGACCTTTTTTGGCCTTTCACATACTTTCAATTAATTCTCTACCCTCCTCAAGTGTTCCTAAAGGCCTGGCAACTTTCTTCTCCTTCTGCTTTTAACCTCTTCATGACCGCTTTTAATAAAGAAGTTGAAGCCAAGAAAGTATACGTTTTTAAACAGTTTGACATCATCACTTGATTAGATGTGATGTTCAGTGCCTTAGTTTGTTACCTGTTGTAGCGATGTTTGGGTCAGGGTTAGTACAATTGCAATAATTCAATAAGAAAGATGGCGATTTCAGTCATGGCAATTAATACAAACATCTTAAAGACACACTTGTTATGATGACAGCTATATATAATCATTCCTTTGCGCCTGACTCAAATGTCCTTCCAGTTTCATTTCACTACTGTGTATTTACATGAGTATATTCATTTCAGCCCCTTCAGACTGCCACTGATCCTGCATGACCCTCTCCACTCTCTCACATCCAGCAGCAACTTTTCTGACATGGTCAAATCTGAACAGCAGTGCAAGAAAAAACGGGGGTAAAATGTGTGTTCATGGTTCCCCCCCCCCCCCCCATCCGTCCTCTGGCCTGAAACATTGTGATGCCATGTGGCTCCTTTATCTCCTGCAACACGACAGGGTTACAGCGTTGATTTAGTATCGTACCTCGAGAGACAGATTAAACCACGATTTGTCAATATCAAAGCAGTACAGAGCAAAAGAGACCCTGACTTTTTGTACCTAGTATGGGTCAGGCTACACAAGCAGAGGGTCTGGTATTTCCTTCAATTCTAACAAAAGCTCCTTTTAAAAAAAAAATAAAAAATCATAAAATGTCTGTGCCACTCCAGACCCTCAGGCTTTTAGCACAGCAGTATGAGTTTCTAGTCTAAACTCAGGTTGAAATGAAGCCTATTTCATGCTTCCTTCTGGCAGAATGGACAAAGGTGGGATTGGCATACAGAGACCCCACTAGCTTCTGTTCATTCATGATTGAGGCCAAAAACTGACCTTTTTTGTTTTGTAGTTTTGCTCTGCTGTTGCATGAGAAGTCTACTTTTTTCAACTCATTGACGGCTGTGAATGACACACCATTCATTTCAACACAGTCTGTGCGACCCAGTCCTCATTGTCCCGTTTGGGAAGTCCCTCAGACCCTTCGTACAGGTCGACATTGCGCAATATCGCCGACTGGGCCGCGCTGACAGCAGAAAGCTTGAAACCGGTTTAACTCTGACATCAGCAGGGTCATCATCAGACGTGACAAAGCTCCTCTACAGAAAGCGTTATACAACATATTCAAATGCTGTGTAATACTCTTCACGATTAGGAAGCTGACGTTTATGTCCTGCACCAAAGTTGGCTCAGGATTGCCAAGTGTGCTGCCAGTAGCAGTTTGTCACGGTGTTAAAGTGGGTTTAGGGGGGTTTATCCCGTAGCGGTGGTGAAACATTCACGTCTCTTAGGAACGGCTGTATTGATGACCTGTCCTGATGAAGGTACTGTTAGTAATCTGATACAAACATTAATCTGACAGTATTGTTTTACTCATCTCTTCCTGTGCCCCTCTTTAGAAAATCCCCCAGCGATCTCATCTCCTCCCCTTTAAGAGTCAGACGCAGGGATTCATGGCAGCAGTGTGTGACCTCGGACCTGTTTGGGTCTGTAATGCATTAAGATGAATGCTTTCCCTCTTACTGTCAGATGATGAATTGCGGGCTCCAGGGGAGGCTCTCTGCTATGTAAAAGAGGCGCTTGCAGACATGGCACTTTCATCAATCAGAGGGGGGGGCTGCTGTAATGTCGTTACACTGCAGAGAGAGAAGACTCTGCAGCAGACGGGCCCTTTTCTCTCTTTAAGTTGCTTGCTTAATGCTTTCCCCTCTCCCTCTGTGGTATAAGAAACATGGGGGGTGCATTGCTGAAACATTTAGGTGGATGAAGTCCTTGTTGTGGCCTTCAGTCGGCGTTATCGCACTGTGTAATCAGCTGTTCTCAGGTACAGCTTGCCATGTCCTCCCTACAATTTCCACTTTTCGCTCCGAAGGCAATATCAAGGTCTCAATTAAAGTGACACCTGGGATCTCACAGTCACAAAGAGCCAGCAGAGATGCCTGCCGGTGAGCCTGTCACTGATTAGTCAACACCCCAGCAGCCCGGAGATGACTCTGGGCATGGTGAAGCCCCCGGTGGAGCCATGGTGTGTTGCAGTCGCTCCAGTGAGCAGAGAGGTTCAGGGGCCAGACGCAGGTGAACCATGCTCAAGTTGTTCCCAGGTGACGAGCAGAGGAAGAAGACTGACAGGATTTACACAGATTTATTCTCTCTTTTTTTCCCGTCCCTCCCAAGCTGGGCAAACTCTCCAAACCAATTTACCAAATAAAAATGTGCACATTAGCTACAGTGGAGATATGGCAATTACAAACTTCACAGTTTTTGAATAGTACCTGGGATTTATTTATAGAAATGTAAACATTCTTGTCTAATACAGTTCCTTACGGCACCCAAGTGTCAGGATATTCTGAGCTTGATTTTTAAGACAGAAAGTCACAGAAGTGTTTAATAAATCTCCAATTGCAGTTCCCACAATATACCGTAAATGGATACTGAGTTTTAGACAAGAAGTACATTGCATTTTGAAAGTCACTTGAATTTAAAGAACACATTTATCATGACAAGGGCTAGGTTTGAAACCTCATGGCTTTTTGAATACCTGAAAACAAATGTATACAATTTGACTGAACTAATCATATTTGTATTCAGTCTTGCTTATTCTTTGACGTACCACTTCGTGACCTAAAGTAATAACTACACATATTAGCCCATTCCAAACAGTATTTCTTGTAGGCTGCTTGTGTAAAGACATTGAATGATTTCAACACATTAAAGAGTCAAATATGTTTGGTAAATGAAAGCAGGAGGTATAGGTAGAAAAAGCCCTGTGAGGTATTTCAGTAAAGGAAACGGTATGACATTGGAACCTGTGTCAAAAATGCTACCCAACCTTCACCTTGATAAATATAGTTTAGCAACATAAAAGGGAAAGGTTTCATCCATCTGGTCCACCTCCACAAACCCTTCCTCACCCTTTATCTGTCCTCTCCCTGTATTTACCAGCTTTCTCTACAGACAGCACCCTCGTATAGCTCCCAGGATCTGAAGATTCTCCCGGTTATTTGCGTGTTGCTCATCTCCTCCCAGAACCTGCCATATCTCTGCCTCTCTCCTCTCATTCTCCCCGTGGCTCTCCTCTCATTCTCCCCGTGTGAGGTCGTGGAGTCGTGGCAGTTGTTGCGGTGGGAGGTGTGGTGTAACCCCGGCTGTTTTGGCAGATAAGCCTCAGCAGGCCCACCTGCTTCCCCGATGCTCGTCAGCCAATACGACTCGAGCTGTCACAGGGCTTCAGTCGGAGGCAGAAGGTTGCCACCTCGACGGATCCAACGCAACCGCCTCATCGCTGCTTGGAAACATGGAGAGCATCTACATCTCAAATAGGAAATGTAAAAGCCTCCAACGAATTGAGTCGAAAAAGTGCCCCTTATTTGAGTTGTGTTTTAACTTGACCTATAGTCTTTGAATAACTGGATTTAACTGATTAGGTTATTTACAGAAAATGTGGACAACCAAGTCATTTTTCAGCAAAAATAGCAAACACTTAATTTGCTGTTTTGTATCCTTGCAACGAGATGTATGATTTCTTACTTTGGACTGTTAGTTGATCTAACTACATGGAGGGAACCAAAATCAAGACGACTAACGATGTCCATTATCTGTTGTGACCCTCAATTTAAAATGATCAAATGTGATTTCATATTTGCATGGGGTCTGGAAATAGATGCAGCTAAATATCCTGGAAACAAAGCTTGTATCTCGACTTAGACGGAAATAATGGAGCAACAAAGCAGTAATAGCCTCACGAATAAAAGTGGTTCGGCGGAGCAGTCTGTGTTGGGTCGGTTTGCTTCATTGGTATACTTTTATTGCAGTCATTATCTTAAAATGTGGGTATTCAATGTTATTGGTTATGAAATGGGACAGGGGATCAACAATGTTATGTTTTGAGTACAGACTGTATAGGCGTCCTCCTCTCAGGAACTAGTGTATCCACAGGCCTTTAGCGTTGTGATTCCCTTTTTTAATTGATTTGTTTCTGCGCTAATGACGGCTATAACATCAAGTTGTCCTCTTTGACGAGCCAATCATCTTGACTGTCAGGGAGGCTGCTCCCTCCCCCAGGCCCTCGCATCACTTCCTGATCTGAATGTATAAAATTCAGCTGTGGATTTACAGCTCTGAGTCGAACAGTCATATTTCTTTTTTTCTCCGCCTCGAGCCAAAGAAGCGATTTCTTGGTGAGAAAGCATCACGGTAGAGGTCAATAAACAATGGCTCGGTTATTGCGTGGTAGATTGAAAAGGAAATCATTTTGTGGTGGAGGCAGAGAGGTGTGTGTGTGTGTGTTTGCATGTAGTGTGTGAGTGTGAGTTAAGGAGCAGACCCCTGTTCTTCCTGTGGAGGCTTTCTCTTGGCAGCGAGGCTTCAAGCTGACCTGTCGGTATCAGTCAGCCTGCAGGGCCGTGAAATGACCCTGCAGCCTCTTTCAGCTCTTCCCCTCACACTGTTGCACCCCAAATATGTTCTGGTTTCTTTTTTTCCCCACATCTCCCTGCTTTATATTCACTCTCCACACCTCGTTCACTCGCTCTGTTCTCCATCTCACGTAGGCAGAATCGCTTAGTTTCTCTTTTCTCTGGAGACTTAATGTTTCCTGTTTGGATCTTGTTTGCAAGTCTTCAATAAGAATCACTTAATGGATTGAGAGGAGAGACGGACCCCTGGATTTTTTCATAGCCCACTGAAAATGTTCCAGGAATAGGAGCTCAACTTGCTTTCTGTGTTTTTGAGGAAGTGTCTTTTCTCTTTCTGTTCAACCGAATGCCAAGTTTTTTTGTTTTGTCTTTTTTAACTCAAATCCTGGAGGAAATGTATTCCTTCATCCTCACAATTCTCGGTACGCTTCCTAACCCTACCTGCAAGTTTAAAGCTCGATTGTTTTTTAATTTAGGGAGTTTGATTTTTTTGGGAGTACACCCTCACCGCTCTCGCCAACACGCCTGCTCTTTCCCTCTGATGGTGGAGAGATGGATGGCTGGGAGAGAATGATCCTCATGGCAGACACATCAGCCAAGCTGACAAATGGCAGCCCTAAACTAGGAAAGCCATTAGCAGAGCCGAAGCAGGAGTGAAGCCGGGCCAAGACCCTCTGGTTTCCATGATTCCCCTTTTTTACAGAGCGCCGTCCTATGCCAGGCCACGAAATGGCGGCGGGGGTGAGACCACCTCTCTGTCCCGTATGTTGACATAGGGCCGAACCCCAGTCGTTAATGAACAAACCCTCCAAAAGAAGCATGAAGGGGTCGGCTGTCTTTTCATTTATGACTCATGCAATTGGCATAAGGCTCTGTGGGAGTTGAGAGTACGTTCTGTGACGGGCATCATGTATTTACCGCCCTGCGTTTACAGTTTGTCAACACTGACGTCATGATCCAGACGAGGATCTGGACAGAGTAACGTTTTTGGAGAAAGGCTCCCAACGCGCTTTTTCTTGTTATTTTAGATTTTTTCACTTTTTACATCTTAATTTTCTACCTTTTGAACATCTCCCTCCCTCGTGCTGGACGACTGCCAATTTGGAATCATATTGAATCTCGTTTTTTCTACATTGAATATACAAAACAGCTTTTTAAAACTTCTCTTACAGAATCAGGTGAGAGGTTAGTTTTCATGCGCTTGACTGAGCTCCACAGAGACGAAGAAGCATTTTGGAGAACATCGGCAGCGGCTGTGTTTATCTATTTGTGTCTTTGTCTTAGCAGCTGCTTTGTAAAGGAAATATTGTTCCTTTTTGTTCAAACAGAAATAAAGAGGCAGTAGGGAGGGAGGGCAGAGGGGAGAGAAACATTAGCCCGTCTAAACGCTGTGCCAGAACTCTTACTCTACAGTAACAACACTGAATACACCGATGCATGTTTCTAGTGATGTCTATAAAATCATGGCTGAACATAAATATTGAGGGAGAAACATGACCGTTAAATGTGCATTTGAATTAACAAAGCAGTTGCTAGACAACATTGCGCTTAAATGCTTGCAAAAGAGATGGGATTCTGGATGCAAAATAGACCATTATGGGCAAATTGCGTGCTATCGACGGAGAGAAAATTGGCTTCATTTCAGAGTGTGATTATAGCTGGTAAACAAAAACTGAAGTGTCTGATGTTTGAGTAGTTGCCTCATCATGGCAGACAGTGTGTGTGTGTCTGTGTTTTGGTATTTAACACTCTTGTGTGACACACAGGTAGGGGGGAATGCTACCCTGCAGGAAATGTCATGATGCAAACGGAGATATAGCATGGGGAATGTGGAGTGACTCAAACAAGCCATGTTTGTCAGTGCGTGAAAAAGTGAGGAGCTTTAAACTCTGAGAGAAAACGACTCAAATTTGGAATAAAACACTTATTTACACTCGACTGTGACTTGAGTGGAAATTGGACACTGAGTGAGTAATTATTTACATTTATCCTCTCTGTTGTTGAACACTTTGTAGATCCATATGACATCTTCTAAAGTAGCAGGCTTTAACTTTAAAAAAACACCCGTGATA